TCCAACCCATTACTAGCATGGGGTACCTAATAAAGTGGCCGGTGAGTGTGTGTGTGTGTGTATATATATATATATATATATATATATAACAGGGCAAAATCCTTTGTCATCTTTACCGTTGACAGGCTCCATCCCTCAATGACAATCAACTATTTCTGGAGTCATCTGAAGGTGCAGAGCGAAGTCTGAATCACGCTCTGGAATATCCACAGGTTCCCAAAGTCCAACAAATACCTTTTTAGTTAATGACCTTTTGTCTGTGATGTGTGTTGATAATAACCGTTTAATTACTTTCAATACATCAACATTTACACTAGCGATCATTAAGATAGAAGTCTGAGGAACTTTAAGTCGTCATATTGAACAGCAATGATCCCAACCAGGGTACCAGCTGAGATCCAGTTCAATCATTTTATTATTAAAAAACAAGGTTAAAGTTAACAGACCTTATTTTACCATCAAAGCGTAACCATGCTGCATGACTCCGTGTGGCTGTGTCCAATAAAATGTTGGATCACAGGGAGCAAAATAGAAATGGAAATATGCTAATATCAATAACTGATAAAGCTAAAAGTTGCTGTAAAATGCTCCGACAGTCCCAGGGCTCACGGTTTATATTCCCTCTGATTGAATGGAGGCCAAATTGTTGTGGAACAGCCAGAGGGGCAGGTCATGGTGACTGCAGCCACAATCCGTAAAATGTTTGAAACAGACAAGCTGCAAAGGGCCATGAGGAATGGGGGGAGAACACCTACCAGACACCCAGGATGAGGGCCTGCTCCTCAGCACTCAGGTCAGGCAGCTGGTACTGATCCGGCTCAGCCAGACTGATCTGATCCAACACCGTGTCATCGTCCAAAAGGTAATCCTGAACAAAAACAAAAACAATCTTCACTCACAGATTTGTACACTGGTGAAAAAGCATATATGTTGAAAAAACAGGAATATTTTATTAATTTCCAGACTGTTTGTTTCTAAGAGAAATCAGGATCAGAGCGGTTTAGATCAATACAGCCTACAGTCTCAGCTATTATATTAAGGGCTGGATGATCAGGCTTCAATTAGAATAAATAATCTCGTTTATATGAATGAAAAGCAGGACGCCTCATCACCAATTCAAAAGATCAGGGTTAGGGTTAACTAATCCTGGAAAGACGGTCATGAAGAAACGATGAGTCTGGCTGCTGCCGCATCGATGCTCCACAATCCAATCTATTATACCTAACTCTGTCCTAACCATCCATCAATGATCCCTCTATAGAACCTGTTATCATGGAACATTTTCATTCTGAACACTGACCAGTCCACAGTAAATCACTTAAGACTAATATTCGATCTTATTAGACTAAAAAGGTTTATATCTCCATATACGGTAACTATTCCACTGGGTGTCAAATATAAGGGATTAGGTTATTGCGCAGTGTATCAAACTGTAGACTGTACATTATACATTGCTCAAGTTATTGCTGTAGTAGTGCAGTGGGGGCTGGTCAATAGAGGGCGCTATGGTTCCACCCCACCCACCCAATGACCCTGAGCTTAAAAAAATAAATATTTTTAATAATTTAGTTTAAGATTAATATTTTAAATCAATATCTATTTTTTAGATGTGCAAGATAAATATTTAATCTTTAACGGCAAGTAAAGCATCATTCCATTTAAGTCGGATTGGTGACGTATTTCCGCCCTTGGACGCAAAAATCTGTGTAGTAGCTCCTCTGCCATAAAAACGTATAGGACAGCAGGAAGTCTCTTTGCTCACCGCCTCCAGCCAAAAAGCAGATGTTTTGTGAGTGATTGACAGGTCGAGTCGTGGGAGTTGGAGACGCATCAGAGAGAGAGAGAAATGGCGCAAGAAACATCCTTTTCCAGGACCTGGTTTGGCTCCAAGGCTAGGCTAACCGCATACAGCGAGGCTAAGGCTTTATTCTGCTTTCCCTGCCTCCTTTTTCAGACATCAAGATCTGACCCAGCATGGATAAAGACAGGAAGGACTGATTTAAAGCACTTTTTAGAAAAAGCAAAGAAGAACGAACAATCTGGGATTCACATGAAAAATAAAAGAATATAGTAGAGGTCTTCAACGTTTTCCAGGCCAAGGACCCCCAAACTAATGGTGATATGAAGCGGGGACCCCTTAATTATATATATTGTAGGAAATTGTATTATATCAAACTGGTCCTATAGTCCCTCTATTACAGATGGATTAATGTATTAAAGTATTTCTGATTCTGATTCCTGGTTGATGGGACAGGTGTTGTGAATGAAACGGTGCCCAGCTTGAAAGAGCTCCTGTGTGTCGCTGAATGTGAGCATTAATGACTGAAAGACATCTTCTGCCTCCATTTATCTGTTTACTACAGTGTGTTGAATTCATGTTAATGTGGATTTAAAGACATTTCAATTAGTGGGAAAAAAATTGTGGGGGTAATATTAAAAAAAAGTCTAATCAACCAAAAC